ACGTTTATGTTACAAAAGAAAAATGTATTGTTCATTTCACAAATTCGTTGTTTTAAATTAAAATTAGGTTAGGCAATGTCAGGTTACGGTAGGTTATGTTTGTCAAACGAACAGAAACGTCAATAATAATTAATAACGTTTTCGATGCTTCGATTTTGACTTTTCTTACTTAACAACAAAAAAGTTGAACAAATATTTGAATTCATCGACGAGAAGAAATAAAAACTAATCGAACAGGTTTAAATGCTGCTAATAATAGAGATTAAACAAGACGCGCGCACGATTCAACGTTACATAAGTAATTGATACTTCGAACACTAAAAATCTAAGTATGAATTTGAGAATTCCGAGTGGATGATCGAAGGTTATGAAAGAAGCAAATGCAATCAATTAATTTCTCAAAAAAAAACAACAAATATTATGCAAGCTGATCTAATTCACTAAATGATATTTAGTAATTAGTGTGTCAAATTATGCTAATCAATTGAATTAATTGCTTTTTTTTTTTTAAATTAAATATATGTACTTCAAATCAATGAATGCAAATGTAGAAAACTAGTGTAGATTATAAATTAAGACGAGTTGAATGAGTTCATTGAATTCCAATCAATTATATTCATTTTTCAATGGTACATTTTTTTTTAATCTCTCTACAAGGTAAAATCTCGATCGCATGATCCTCCAAAATCCTTGGATTCGTTATTTTTTTTACGAGTTTCTGCAAATTCTTCCAAATATTAAATATTTACATATAATCATTTAACAGAATGTTATAAATATGACTGATTAGCATATTAATATATACTTCCTCCTTACGACAACAGTTTTATTTAAGTTTGATTTAGTGAGGTTAAGGTTTAAATTTTTTATTTTTTTTTCAAATGAAGATTGTCATCAAATTAATTTGAATTTGTTAGTCTACTCTATATGCAAATTGAATTCTTTTGTAAATGTTCAATAGATTTATATCTAAATCTATATACTGCATTAGTATCTTAAAGTTACGTAATTTTAAAAACAATTTGTTTAAATAATTTCGTGCGAAAATAATTTTGAAATAATGTGACAAATGTCATTTTGAAACCTAAATGACAGCTGTCATTTTAAGACTTAAATGACAGCTGTCACCTTGTAAAATACGGTCAAAAAGGTTGATAATATTTGTTTCTTTATCATCTTATTAAGAAACAAATTCCAAAGTCGGAAATCGAAGAATTTTTGTAAAAAAATGATTCATGATAATTGCGAAAACAGAAATCCCCGTTTCTTTTCACGGTATTAACAAATGTTGGTATTGCTATTAAGAAAATGTACGTTTCGCATTGTTTATATAACAGCTTGCAAAAGAAAAAAATGGAAAAACAATTCTGAGAATGTTGCCAAAAATTTAATGAGTTTAACGAAATGGAAAGGATTTTTAATTGTTTCTATTTCGTGGTTTCTTTGCAATCAAGATTATGTATATTTTGGCAAGAACGAAACATAATTGATTTAGTTTTGACAAATGTCATATAATCATACCAATTACCTTCTATATTTATGGAAAGTGTATCATACGTCAAAATTGACAGGTATCAATTAATAATGTCTGACGGTCATAACCCAATTTATAAATTGTCAACACACTTTATTTTTATACATCAATGTCAATTGAATAACCTAATTTACAATCATATTTGTTATGTATAACAAAAAATACAACTTACGAAATGTGAAAAATGTAATTGTTTTTATTTCGTCGTTTCGTTGCAGTCAAGATTATATAACAGAAATTTGACGAAAACAAAACAAAAATGATTTAGTTTTGACAAATGTCATATTTATGAAAAGTGTACTCAAAATGTCAAAACGAATTATATACGTCAAAACGTCAACTTGACAGTATGAGTCCAACGGAAACGTCAATTATCTTACGTCAAAACTGACAAGTATCAATTAATAATTTTCGACTGTCATAACCTAATTTCTAATTAATAATACAATTTATTTGTATACATCAAAGTGTTAATGTCACTTGAATAACCCAATTTACAATCATTTTTTATGTATTAAAAAGAATATAATAGAAATTCGGCGAAAACGGAACAAAAAATATTTACTTGTACTTTTATTCTCAAAATGTCAAAACAAATTATATACGTCAAAACCAAAAACCAAAAAGTACCAAATCAAAACGTCAATTATCATACGTCAAAATTGACAAGTATCAATGAATAACTTCTGACGGTCATAACCTAATTTTATATAATTGTCAATGTCAATTGAATAATCTAATTTACTTATCTTTTTTTACATATATAAAATACAAGTAAGATAAGTTAAAAGAAAAATGTTAAGTGTGAAAGTCAATTAGGAGATTATTTTTGTAAACGTTAACTGGTATTTCGTGTAAAACGTTTAATTTACTCTGTAAAAAGAATGCAATTAAAGACCACACAGCCTGTAGGTTATAGGAAAATTCCTAATGACGCCTGCAAACTTTTCGTGTTCACCATAATGAATAGCGCCGATAACAACAGCAATTATTTCAATATGACACCCAGGTAAAACGAACAGAAATCCAATCATGCGTTCACCTTTCGAACACTAAAAACTAATTCAATTATATAACATGTTTTTTTTTTAAACATTTTAGTCGTCTTAAACAAATATGAATAAAAAGTGGCAACAACAAAGAGACATCACACAACTAAAAAAACGAACGTCCGCATAAATAATTCATGATGCGTATTTGAATATTGCATCGACCAGATTCCGTTTATATAATTATAAAACTCGAGAAAAAAAAAATATAATCAAACTTAATAATTATAATATAAACATAAACATTTATTTTCAACGATATTTCACATTTCAATTTGACATTTAGTTCAATGTCAGAGTTCACATTCGCAAATGCGTTCCTTCGCAATTTACACATAAAAAAAATGTATTTTTTATTTTTAAATTCAGAAACGATAAATTACATTTCTTTTTTTTTTGGAAATAAGCATATAATTATATAACGTTTACTAATGAGCAAAATTCGCAATCAATAAAATTATAGACAAAAATATTTCATAACTACGCGTCTGGGATTTTTATTACTAAAAAAAAAACAACTGCTAATAGAGACGCCGCCTTGCGTGAAAACAACTAAATTGTGAATCAATTGATTTCTTCAAATATTATTGAAAAATTAAAGATTTCTAACGTGATTTTTAACGTAGTTTTTCAAAATATTTGTAATAATTCTATGCGAATGTGTAGGAAATAAGTAACAACAACAAAAAAAATAGCATAATTTCTTACATCATCAAAATATAATGTTTATGATACCACCGAACAAACAACTTTTCCTGCTTTCAAAATAAGTTATTAAAATGCAAAGAGCGTTCAAGTAGTTTAAAAGTCTAGATATGTATTAATAAACGATCTTATTGTTATTCACTAAATCTAAATATAGATAAATCAACGACTTTTAACAATCGATTAAATATAGGTTTGTTATTCATATTTTTTTTTAAATACAGTTGAACCTCGCTTAACGAGTTTAATCCGTTCCAAAATTTTTTCGCTCGTTATGCAAAACATCGCTCGTTAAGCAAGTCATTTTTCTTACAATTTGGTCGTTATGCAAGGTTCCACTGTAATTGAATCAACAATGTTAATTCGACTATGGAATACTCTTAATATAGAAAAATAAGTGTTTTTTCTTAACAATCGATTTAATTGATTTCATTAGTTTATGATAAAACCGATAATTTCTTGGAAATTCGCATTGACATAACGCAATAAGGCATTAGAATGCAAGCAGCATTCGCACAGTTTCAAAGTCTATTTTTTTTATTGCGGTTTTACATAAGATAAAAGTAATCTTTTCAATTTATTACGAACAATGGAAATCAATTAAATTGCAAATCTCAAGTTTGATTAATTTCGTTGGAAATTTTAGTAAAGAAATTCTTTCAATACTTTTTCCAATTAAACGAATCTATTCATATAGATTCACAATAACACTGCTATGAAATAACGCTTATTAATTGCTGATTTTTCACTTATATAGAGCTAAACCCTATAGTTACCTCACTGTAAATATGGGTTCATTTTACGCCGATTCGATTTGCGACGGCTTTTTTAGGAACGAAAGTAGAACGACGTTTACCTGTACTTCTTTGTTAAATCTTTGGAAATATTTAAAAAAAAAAACCTAATTTTGTATGTAACTTCGGGTTTTTCGAAATCAATACAAATGCAATTTTTTTGTAATTCTTTGTGAAATTATTGTCAAATGTAATAGTTTTTTTTCTAATGTATAATTATGTTAATTAGCAATCAATTTTAATTAAATCTAGTCATCATCATAAAAAAACAAATTAATTCAAAAAATTAGCAGTTAATTTCTTAAACTTTGTTTAAAAAAAAACAAGTAGACATAAACAAAAATGTATACAAATTAATGTAAAATTTCAATTTTAAAGATGAAATAAATTAACGATTCATTAAAGAATTATAATTGTTAAATTAAGAATGTAAACGAAAACAAATATTCGACTAAACTAGGAAAATAAGTATAAAACTTGTATTAATTACCTAATTGATAATCAATTAACTAAAACAAAATACGTCAAATAAACTGCGTAGTAATTAAAAGCAATAAAATGAATATTTTCTACATTAAAAATTAATAATGCGTAATAGAAAAAAAGTCAAGGCCATGGAAAATGGAAAGCGCTGTAATCGCGGATAGACCAGAAGCAAAATGAACGCGTTAATCGTTTCCGCTTTTCTACTTTTACCAAAAAAAAAACAAAATAATATATAAAAAAAAAACCAGAAATTTAGTTTTTTTTTCACTTACTACGCGTAGTATAATAGCAATAATTGATCATCATTTTGTTTTGTTATGATTTCCAATGTACGCGTGTGTGTGCGTGAAATGTTTGAATAATAATTAGAATGATGGCGAGTTGTTACTTCGACATTGAAAAAATATTCTTTCCCGAGTTCGACCGGCCGGCAGTTTTAATAATAAGCGCTCGAATGTATAAATCGCTGAGCAGTCTCGGCGCGTCGATGTAGCCGATAACATAACAACACTTCGGGTGCTTTTTTTTTCGCTTTATCTTCTCGCAAATTAAACAACAATAAGTAAAAAAGAAAAACCATCATCGTTTGAATCGACGACTGAAAAGATGAGGTTTTTCTTCTGCGTTCTATTGGTTTCCTCGTGCGTCTTTTGGCCACTGGAAACGGCTTCCATTGGACAGAGAGTTAAGAGGCAGGGTGTTATTGGTGATCCTTGTGAAGCTTTCAACGTCAAACTTGGTAAGTTTTCAACACAAATTTGTAAATATTTTCAATATTCGTACATTTTTTACATCAATTATTTAAAAAAAAAACAATTTCCAATAACTGCTTCAAAAAAAAAATTGACTCAATAATTGCAACAAATTTCTCAAATATCTGAGTTTTCAAAAGAGTCAATAAATTTGATAATATAAACATAAAATAATAATAAATATTTTCTCAATCTCTTGCGTTTCAAACACCAATTTTTTTGCAATTTCTTTCAATTTTTTAAGAAAGTGTAATAAACTAATCAAAAACGAAATAAAAGTTATCAAATTAGCAAGAACTAAAGATGTTGAAGATTTCTTGTACACAAATTGTTACTCAAAGACAATAACAAATCCAAAAATTTCAAGTTCAATTCAATCAAGAAAAGTGAAATAAAAAAAATGTTGCCAAATATTAATGCAAAATTGAAACTAATTTTCTTATTTGATTTTCCACTTAGTATGGAGACACAATAAATATTGCTTAATTTTTTGAAATATTTTTCTTCTAATTTTATTCCAACCAATTTAAAATTATCATAAAACATTGATTTCTGCAATTTTAGTTGATAAAAAAAATAAAAATTTGCATTTCTTTTCAAATTATTTAAGATAAAGGAATCATCTTAACACTTTCACCAAATTAACATTGTGTTTTATAACAAGAATCGCACGTTTCTATAGATTCCTCAAAAAAAAAATCGCTGATTGCGAGAGTGAATTAATAATTAATTTTATGCTGAATTAAATTAATCACAAACAACGCGATTAATACAATTCTCTAGAATCGATTGTTGAATGAATGGATGTAATAATCCATGAATGGAAATCGCATTTGGTAAACGAATAAATATGCGACCGAGCGTTTCCGTTTCCGGAAATGCGATCGAAAACAATAAATTCAAGTTAAGCGGGCGGCGATGAATGGGGAAAATTGCTCCGACGCAAACCTCGACTAATTAATTTACAAGCGAGATGTAACTAATTTGTTTTCGACGTGCAAAACGTATACTCCACAAAAAAAGTTTTAATTACAGTTCGACCAGTTTATTGTAATTACGACTGTTTTGAACTCGAGAATGTAAAGGATTTTATGTGAAACAGTTTGTCGCATTTAGATTTAGAAAATAACAAAAATTTAGCAACAAAAATCCTAACACTGTCCTCAAAACAAGTTTCTTAACATTAATTTACCAGTTGACATGATTATTCATATCACAATATGCCTATAATCAATTTGCGTAATTATTTAAAAAAAAAACTGTGATTAATATGCATTGTTTTTAAAATTATATAATTATAACATATTTGCATATATTTCATAAACACGAATAAATTGATTACATAAATGTCTCAAATTTAGCATTTTTAAAGAAATTTAAATATTTTATTTTAAGATCTAGTCATGTCAGTTCATCATTTGCAAATTGACATCGCGATGAAAAACAAAAAATATTTTTTTGAGTTATTCAATAAATCAACAGACTCAATGGAAATGTTTCAATTAATTAATTAAAAAACGCAAATACTATTTTTTTTTATATAAATTAATATTGTATGTACTTACATGAATGTATTTTGCTTGTATCAATTGATTTTTGATTTTTATTTTAATTTCTTCTTTTTGACAACTTATGCAATAGCGCCAACTTATATTAGATACTTGTAACCAATAATTGCAGTTGGTAATTTTGCAAAGTGATGGTAATTTCTTATAAATTGAATATTCTATAATAGTTTGATGGAATTCCATAAGAATAATTTTTGTTTGCTTCAACGTAAAAATTATAGTTTTAAAATCGACCTCCTTTTTATTATTACAAATAAATATTGTTGTGTCAAAAACAGCTTACCAACTTGAATAATATAAATCACTATTTTTACTATAACAAGTGAAATTGGTGATGAAAATCTATTAGTAATATTGATTATTTTTTGTCAGGATTTCATTCGGCAAAATTGAGCACAATTCCGAAAGGCGTGTGCGGATATTGCTGTCCAATTAAGGAGAACGACGTTAGATTCTATTTTGTGGACAGGACGCACGTAAATGGAACATTGGTAACACTGCAGAGTAAAGGAAGAGCGTTGGGAATCGATCCCAGACTACCAACGATCATCTACGTTCACGGTTTCTTGGAATTGGGTATCAGCGGGATAGCGATTCGAACGGTTCGCGAAGGTAAACTTAATTTTGAATTAAGTCTAATTTAATTTTTTTAATTATTTTTCAATTATTCTCAGGGATTTTTAATAGTAATATTGATATGAATTTCTTGGTGGTGGATTGGTCGAATCTGTCGATGGGACCGTGGTACGTGGAAGCGGCTCAAAACGTCAGATACGTAAGCGAGAAGGTGGCGACGTTCATCTGGACGCATCTGAAGAGGAAAAGCTTTAGGTTGGATACACTGCACGTCATCGGGTTCAGTCTCGGTGCTCAAGTCGTCGGACTTGCCGGGAAAATTTTGAAATCCAATGGTCTGATGTTACCTAGGATAACAGCATTGGATCCAGCTTTTCCACTTTTCCATATAAAGCGTGAGTTCTTTAATTCACCCAAGTTTCTTTTCTTTAAGTTTCGTTTTGCAGAACCGGAAAACAGAGTTGCCAGGGGCGACGCTGAATTTGTCGACGTGGTTCACACGAATCCCGGAAGGTTCGGTATCGGCGAACCAATAGGAGACGCAGATTTCTATCCCAACGACGACAGATTCTATCAACCCGGATGCAATTTCGATGACGTCATCAACGGAAACAGATTGGACGATTTGGGTAAATCTTACATAAAACCCAATAAAATTACATTTATTATGATTTTTTTTTTGTAGCAAGTTGCAGCCACGAGAGGGCGTGGGGTTACTACTCAGAGTCCATAGCGAATCCGCAAGCTTTTCCTGCAACAACCTGCAGAGGATTCCGCGCTGATGCTAAACCTTGCCATTTCCAGGTCGACGCCTACATGGGTTACCACCTCACCAAGTACAAATTCCACCAACGACAAAAATCAACCAACTAAATTAATAATCTTTCAGGAACGTCACCGGTCAGTACTTCTTATCTACGAATCCGCAGAAACCGTACGGAATGCCGGCCGATCTGCAGATGAAGATGAAATCCTGATACGCGCGCCATCTACAACTACTCAGTATTATTTATTTAAACGCCAACATGATTCCTTTTTTCTACTAGTATTATGTTATTTAAATGTAAAATAAATTATTTTTTTCGAAAAATGTTTCTCCATTAACCCTATGTTTGATACGCCCTCTCTGGATGATCCGACATACTAATAATTTTATGCTTTATAACAAATGAAATAACATTAGTGGATTACTTAATTTATTCCACGTTTAATCCTCTCTCTCTCTCCGTTATTTGTTTATTTACATTTCGTTACATTACTACATTTTTTTTTCTGGGTCTCATCCATTAGAGTTTTATATGCGTGTGAAGCGCACGTAGATAGGAATGCTAATGAATTTCAACGTAATTAAGTTGAATTTGTCGCCGCCTAGATGGAGCACGCGATCCACCAACGTCGCCGCATGTTCAACCCCTAATCGAATTAGGGCGAATTCGTGAATCCCCAAAAGATATGTTTCTTTTTTGTATATGTCCACCGCAATTTATAAAACGCCGCAAACACACCTTGTAAAACTATTCATTTTCATCATAACTGACAGCTCGTAGTTCGGCGTTAATTGACGACAGATGGTGCGCAAATCTGTACTTAAGCCCGATTTACACGATGCTTAAATTATTGACGTTTCAATATTATAGTAATAAATTCTCAGATTGCGTGAATCTAATGGAGATGATTCATTTAACTTTTGCTCCTTTTAGTCGCCTCTTACGACAAGCAGGAGATACTTTGGCTGTATTCTTATCCGACCCCAAAAATAACCAAAGGGCAACTAAACGCTCAATTTAATAATTATTATAATAATAGATGTCGCTCTAATACAACTAATCAAAATCTTAATAGAAAAAATCTATTTTAAAAGTTACTTGTAAAGTATTGCTCGTAAATTGGTAAGTACTTGTACTAGTTATATCTTCACTTAAAACTACACCAATGTAGCTTTCTCGAACGAACTGCGTGTACAATAATAATAATAATAAAAATCTCTTGTAAAAAATAAAATAAAAAGTAAAACTTGGTACGTTTCTTTCGCGTTTATAGTCGGACCCGAAAGATGTAATCCAGGCAAAACGCGACATCTTTTATTTATTACTAGAGGGGGACTGACTACGTGATGTTTTCGTTTCCTTGGAGATATAAATTCCGGTCCGTGCGCGCATCGTAAGATTTAACGCAACAAAACACGAGCGAAAAGACAAGAAAATGAAATGGCTTGGATCGCAATTCTTTCGTGTCTTCCCATATTTTCTTTTTTATTTTTCAACAAGAAAATGATATCATCGCATTTCTCTCACTCGCGTAATTAATCAAGCAACAACCTTCTGCTGGTTTTTCCCCTTTGAACCCATCGCACCCGCTTTTGTTTATTAGCCTCAATCGCATACCTCTAGATTCTATTTATAACCATGATATTTTGTGTATACTCACTCACTCGCATATTTTACTAACTGCATCAACTTTTAATGTATTCACGCTACATTTAACACTTAAAGAAACATTATTGGATTTTGTCCGCTACATTTGAGCTATATTGAAACGTCAAAAAGTGCGACAACAACACCTTTTTACAATTTAACAGAAAAAAAAATAATTATGTAATTCTTTTTGCGGTTAATTGTTTCTAAGTAGTGATGAGAAATGAGACTAAATGCGCTCAATGCAACCGTATTTAGTGCGACGGCATTCGCGTGAAATCCACGATGATTGATTTTAATCCGCACTCATCCAAGGACTTTCAATTCTAAATCAAAATCGCTCTCATCTCTACACAGCTTAAATTTTTCTTCTTTTTTATTTCATTTTCCACTCGACAAACGCAACGCGCCTCCAACAAAGAGCAAATAACGCCGAAGAACACACGAATCGTCGATTAATTTCATAATTAAGGATAACGAAAAAGAAAGAAGACGATAAACTAAAACAAAAGAAAGATAGGCGAGTAGCGAAAAAAGAACCTTGAGCCTTGTCCAAGTTTCGCGAATCGATTTTCTTTTGTTATTTTCCTTTCTTGTGATCATTTCCAAGGATACCGAAACGCAATCGATTTTACCCGTCGACGTTTTGTTTTTTTTTAATTTATATATTTTTTTTGACGTTTCCGACGTTTGACAATGCGCGTCAAATGATGGGTCTGTTTCGTGGGAGTTTCGTTCGTTTAAATTTCGCGCGTTTCAAGGGTACGCATGAGGTGAAGGAGAAGCATGAGGTGACCACCGGCGTCGACATCAAGAGACCCAAATGTCCGCCGCCGAAGAAGAGTAAAAACTTAATTTTCTTTTGTTGTATGCGAATTTTCGTGTTGCAAGTGTTCTGTTGATTTCAGAGCAGCTGGTGGACCACTACGGTACTTACGAGCAGAAGGCGGTGAGAGTGTCTGTGCTGGGCGCCGGATCGACAACAGGACAAGCACTTTGTCTGCTTCTTAAACAGAATCCTCTCGTTTCGCACATCTACATGTTCGACGCTGCCAGTCCCGATAGTTATGCCGATGATCTAAGAAAAATCGATACCAGAGCCGGGATTACGGGTCATAACGAGAAGGATATAATTCCTGCCATCAGGGTATTTCAAATATTTCTGTTTTAACTTCCTAGTTATTTTGATTGTTTTGTTTTGCAGACTGCGGATATTATAGTTCTCTTGGGTTTGGACAAATACAACGCTGAAGCTGACTTAAGAGATCAACTCACATCAGAAGGCTCGAGGATAGTGCATCTGGCCAAAATGTGCACCTCCTTCGCCCCGAACGCCATCTTCATCGATTGCGTTGCCCCGGTTTCCGTCACGTTGCCATTGGTTTCCGAATTGTACAGAAGGAATCATTGGTATCATCCAGGTCGGGTCGTCGGATCAGTCTCATTATTACAGGTATTATTTACCTTAGTTACAATTCAAATCAACAGTTCTGTTGTTTCAATAGAGAAATCTTCATTTACTTTCAATGTTGATCAAAATCTAGTAATCATGGAAACAATCCGAATCAACAGTTCTGTTGTTTCAATAGAGAAATCTTCATTTAGTTTCAATGTTGATCAAAATCTAGTGATCATGGAAACAATCCAAAAACTCCTAATGCGTTTTCTCTTCAGATCCAATTGAATACTCTATTGGCACGTTACGATGAACTGAATCCGACCAGCGTGAATGTACCTTTGATCGGAGGACCGGAACTCGATACCATCGTACCATTATTCTCCAGAGCTTCGCCGACCGGTCTGCCGATGGCCGAATCGCGAATGCTGATCAATCGATTCAAGAATCTGTCCGATGATGCCTCGCCGACGGAACGCGTCAAATTTCGCAACGAGTATTGCCCTTACAGCAGCGCCTTCTCGATCGCGAGGATGGTGACCACCGTGGGACTAGGACTGATGGGCGATTCGTCCGCCCTCTGCACGGCGTTCGTGCGAAGCAACATCTTGAACACTTGCAGGTTACTAATAATCTTAACAATTAACAATTTTTGTATATAAGTTTTTTTAATTTTTAGGCATCTAGTGTGCACTGTTAAGTTTGGTAAATCCGGCATTGAGCATAACTATGGGATCCCGCAATTAACCAGTTTCGAGTTGAAGATGTTAGAGAGGGCAGCTCTGGAGCTTTCGAAAAGGGAAAAGTTCGCTTTGGATTATCTGAAGGTTGTCGAATCTAAATCAGCACCTATGAATCAAAAGGAGGCTGATCTTCGCGAGAAATTGTACTTAGCTACGACGGACAGAGACCCGACGTACGGATCGAGGAAGAAATCGAAGAAGAAGCAGAAACGCGATTGAATCCTTTTGTGAATTCGAAATTGTTTGTAATTTGTGCAACACAAAAGAAAAACATGGATTTCTATAGAAATTCTATAGTGTAATTGTAGGATAAAATTGTCTTTAAATTAAAACTTATTTGGATGCAATTGTTAAAGTTTTCGGTGGAAACTTCTTGCAAAACCTATTCGATTAATATGCTGCATGGATGCGATCTAATCGAGTTAGTTGGTAACTAAATTCCGGCTAAAAATAGTCGCAGCGCTTCCGGGTAATAAGCTTAAAGTAATAGCATTAGTCCGGGCTTTGCTGAACGAACTCATTATGTTGGCAAAACTCCAATATGATAGGATTATTTTTAATTCAATATAAACTGTATCCTATTCATTTGTCAATATTTAAGGTTAAGATTTTCATCAATCTATATTTCTATTGTCAAAACATTTGCATTTGAAAATAGGCGGCTTTGATCTATATTCCATGTGTGTGTCATTAAGTCGAACAAAAGCTGCCATTTCGAATTCAAGGTTGGTTATATTTTCGATTCACCTTCTGCTATGAATAGCGCCATTCAAAAGGGAATTATGCATATTTTTGCATGATATAAATGGATTTACGGAACGAAATGCTGAATTCGTGCATAAGAACGCGATGCTTATCGAGTAACGTCGTTAAGAATATTCAGTTGTCAATTTGGACCTGGTCGCTGTTTTTGAACTTTTGTGTTTTACAATTAGAAATTAGAAAATAAAACGCAACTAGTATACAAAATGCTCAAATTATTTGACTTGTACATATTTCACAAATTCAAAGAGAAACTTTTCAATCAATTTGACAAGTATTTGCGTTTATCAGTTTTGAGAAGTACTGGTTGTATATGGTTACTTGTGCTGTTGGAGTTGCGCAAATGCAACGAAAATGGCAGCAAATTCAAATCTTGCGTTAATTTTGGGACAACCTTTATATACAATTAGAAATTAGAAGATAAAACGCAACTAGTATACAAAATGCTCAAGTTATTTGACTTGTACATATTTCACAAATTCAAAGAAGAACTTTTCAATCAATTTGACAAGTATTTGCGTATGACAGCTTTGAGAAGTACTGGTTGTATATGGTTATTTGTGCTGTTGGAGTTGCGCAAATGCAACTGTCAAATTGTTTATTTTTTAGGGTTGCCAACACTTTACTGCACAAATGGCAGCAAATTCAAATCTTGCGTTAATTTTGGGACAACCTTTATATACAATTAGAAATTAGAAGAGAAAACGCAACTAGTATACAAAATGCTCAAGTTATTTGA